ATTATTTTTAAATACATTTTCTGTTAAATTTTATAAATAAAAAAAAGTTAAAAAACTAAATTGTTATTTATTTACTAAATAAAAAATTATACATATGTAGGTACATAGGATATATTTTTATTTTATCGGCATTAATACATAGTAATTTTATAAAATGTAAAAGTACAAATATTTTTTTGATTAGCTAAGTGCAAAATTTATTTTTAAATATTTCAAAATACTTAAATTTAAGAATTATTTCAAAATAATTTATTTATTTAATTATTTAATACTTTGATTTGACTTTAATTAAAAATTGGTTTGAATGAAGTATTTATTATAAGTAAAGATTAAGTCTGGAAAAATCACTTCTTGGAAAGTCCTGCTTCTCTGCATCTTTGGGGACGAAAAAAACTAAGAAATTTAAAGGAAACAACTTTATATTCAATACAGAATTTGGTTAAAACAAGAAAATTCTCTTCAAAATTTGTAACAAGTTTATCCTATATATGCTTAGTTTACAGATAGTTATCAGAGCTGTACCCCGTAATTTTCTCGTGACGCGCCAAAAGCCAAATTATTACAAAAGGAGATTTCCGAAGGAACATTCCGACTGGTCTAAGAATATTGATTTAAAACTTTTGGGGCTGTTTTGAACGATCCGGATCCGTCCTAAAGTATAACGTAATAAACAATTCCGTTGATAACTATTTGGATAATTAATACTTGTTAATGCACCTGATCTTTCATTTAGATGGTTCAATTCTGTCCTAATGGTAACGTTTTCCCACCCTCAACCTACAATTGTTTGATTTTATAATCTTTTTATAGGTTGATTCATCATGAAATATTTCCTCATAATACAAAAAATTTTATCAAAAGTTATGAAAAATTTTCAAAAAATGATGCAAAAATTCCCTGGACAATCAATCGAGTGAATACTGAACACACGACAAAAACTATAAATATTTAAAAAAAACTTTACATAAATATTTAAATGCCCAAAATGATATATGTAATACATTTAAATTTAATGAAAATATATTGATAAAATATCAGGAAAAATAAAATAGAGCCCGGGCGGAGTGGGAATTACCAGGGGAATTTTATTTGACAAAGATGGATCAAGAGGGATATCGATGGATATGGAGGGATATCGCGGGATATAAGTGGAGTTTAATCAACGTATATCCCTTACTTAATCTACCAAAATCCCTCTTAATCCTTACAATCCTTCTAATCTCCCTTAGATTTGCAATCCCTTTATATCCCTCTTAATCCTCAAAATACTCTCTTAATCACTTCAAATCCCTCTATATCCTTCATTCTCGTGGGGGAAACGCGAGTATGCTAGATAATAAAAAAGTATTCCCTCATTTCAGCGCCGCATGCAAGAATTTTGAGAACATTAAGTGTTTTTCAAATAAAAAATCAAAAAACAAATAATGACGTTCGATTTTTTTCCGGTTTTTAAATTTTTTCGATTGATATTTTTTCGCAAATATCGAAAAAGCCGGGCTCTAAAATAAAGAATATACAATTCAAAAAACATTAAAAAAGCGATGTATATTTTGTCCAGAATTCTTCTAATTCATCGCTGCAAGCGAAAAAATTAAGAATTTCGGAAAGCAAGGAGAAAGATTTCCTCCTTTGATTGAAAAAATTTCCATGAAAAATGTCGGTCGGGTTTATAAAAATTTCCAGGGTCGAGTTTTGGGGCGAAAAAAAGTCCGGGTTTCGGGTAACACAATTTTATATACAATTTTTAGTTCACTTCTTTTCACTTCAATTATACATAGCTGCAATCTATTATTATAAAATTATTAAATTAATTTTAATTAATTATAATTACCTAATAATCTCCCAAGAATCGTGTGAAATAATCTAATTCTTTTAAAACATCTTCATTTCTATAATTGTTTACTTCTGTCTCATTTAAATTTTCATTTAAATTTTCATTTATTTCAGAAATATTATGAAAGCTTAAATTTGAATCATTATCTTTATTTTCAATTTTATTCTCTTCTAAATTAGGTTGAACATTGTTTGATGTTTGGTCAATTATAATTTTAGTACGGCATAATGGGCAGTCACAAAACTATTTTTAAATAAATTTATTACAATTTAAATATTTTTTATATTTAAATGAATGACTTGAAACTAAAAAATCTTTTTAACAAAATTTTGTTGTGTGTAAGGATTACTCATCTGACAGAATTTAAAATACCTAGGCGGGAGTTAAAATCTATAAAGAGAATAGAATATGCAAATTTGTCGCTCCCAAATTATTGAAGGTTATTATTCCTGCTCTGTAGCAAAACCCTTTTCTAAATCCTTTATCATTAATTTGTCAGAAAAATCATTGGCGGTTCAGGTTACCCGTATTTGGACAACAACTCTAAATAACTGGTATAATCCACAAATTTTAATGGAGAACTTCCCCACTAAATTTTCTAAAGACTCCACCATATATAATTTTAAACAAATTTTTGCTTAAGCATTAAATAAAATATAATTTAATTTAAAAAATATTTACAATAGGGACAACATGATCCTCAATTTTCTTATCTAATTTGGAGTTTTTTGTTTTAATCCTATAATTTTAATAAAATAATTAATTATAATTAAATTAATTTACCATTCAAAAATACATTTCTCATGGAAAATATGCTAAGAAAATAATTTTTTAATTAAATTTAAAATTTAAATTACATACATTACAAGGAATTAATTGTTTAACTTCTTCCCCAATCTTAAATTCTTCGTGACAAACACTACACATATTCTCTCCGTTTTTTAAAATATTTTCATTAATTTTAATATTTTTTAAAGCTAAATTTAAAAATTCTATTTTTAATTAAAAAAATTAAACTTACAATGAGGTACTTTATTGAAATAAATTTGGTTGGGATTAAAACGATTGTAAATTTTATCATAATAAATAAAAGCTTTTCCTTTTTTGTTTTTGTATATTCTTAAAATTTAAAAATTAATTTTTTTTAACTAAAGTAAAGCAGCTGGGCTATAGCTATTTCTCTCCCTTAGCTAGTGCAAAAGGTTATTCGACGGCTGGGACTAACCAGCATCTTCAGTAGACCGGACTGATGTATTAGCCATTACACCACGCCGCCTACTGCATATGTATAGGAATTAAAATAGCTATACAGTGTGTCCAATAAATATACGTTTTCAATATTATAAAAAATTTCAAAAAGATTATATGTCAATGACATTCCAAAATCGGTAAAAATTAGGGTGGACGTATCATTATTGGACACACTGTATGTATGTATGTATGCTTTACAATATTTAAATTGAAGAATCTCAGATTCAACTAAAAACATTCAAAAATCCATAAAATCTATTTTATTGAAATTAATTTTTTTAAATATCCAAACTAAAAAAATTCAATTAATTAATTAATTACCCTTTATGAACTTTCAAAATTTCATTACATTCTTTAAGTTTTTTAAATTCTGGCTGGTCTTGATTAAATATGCGCTTAATTAAAGGAAGTTTATGATCCTTATTTCCTTCTTCTATTGGCTTATTCCAATTCCATTTTAAAGTAAAATAAAAATGTTCTCCAGAAGTAAGTCTGTAATAATCATCAACAAAATCTTCTTTATTTTCCAAAAATTCTGGGTCCTCTTTAAAGGAAATATAGGCTGCTCCATATGTTTCAAATAAAAAATTAGCCAAGCAATGAGACTGTTTTTCTAAATTAATAAAAAAGAATTTTAAAATAAAGGATAGCATGTATATAGGATATTTCTCATTAAGACTTTTTTAAAAAGTTTCTGAATTCTTCAAGTCTCCTTCTCATTTTACGAAAATTGTTAAATACAGAATAATTGCTTAAATTTGAAATTTGAATCTATTAACTAGAAAGTTAATTTGATATTCAAATAGATAAATAAATAAATATTTTTTTATTAAAATGGTTTATTTTTTTCTTATTTTATTTTGTTATTCATTTAAGCACTAAATTGACATTATAAATATCTGGGCCTACTCCTTTAACTAACTTATTGTCACTCCTTTATTACATTAGAATTCGGGTAAGGAACTAGACCAAATTTCTGAATTTAAAAGTCAGAAATTTTAAAAGTATTTCCTAATTCCTTCCAATATTCTGGTTTCTAGCGAAGGGTTGGTTTCTTATTTAAATAACTAGCGGGGTCTTTTCTGATTTTTAATAATAAAAAAACAATTTAATAATTAACTACAAACTTAATTTAATTTTATATTCATCAGAAATAACCAAATAATCTTCCTTAATAAATTTAAAAATATTTTCAATTTTAATATTTTCATTTAAACTATTTTTTGTTTTAATTAATTTATCAATTTTTCCAAAACAATTATTTGTATATTCTTTCCCCATAATTGTTTCCATTTCTTTTTTATTTAAATAAATATTTTTTAAATTATTTTTTAAAATTATATTTTTTATATCAAAAATTTCTTTTATAAAAATTTCTGTTTGAATATTTTCTTTTAACAAAATAAAATCAGACAAACATTCAAATTCTTTTGAAGAATGTTTTGTTTGCCAAAAACAATTTATTTTTAAGGGGAAAATAATTAAAATAATTAAATAATTAATTAATAAATACATTTATCTAATAATTTTTTTAAATAATTTTTTGGTAAAGGGAGAGAGAGGTAAATTTTTTAAATTAAGAGAATGAGGAGAGTGAAGGGGGGATTTTAATGGGGGGTCTTTTCTTCTTCTTATAAATGGAAGAATTGATTAAAGACAACAAAGTCTTTATTGTCTAATTCCCCATAATTAATTTATTCATTGAGTTTGAGAATAATTAATTATTGATTTTGGAAATAAAATTCAATTTAAAAAATTAATTTAAATTATTAAATTAACTCTAAAATTTAACTAAAAATTTAATTATTTTCTTTTATTTTAACAGTAAATAAAAAAAATTTAAATAAAATAACAAAAAAATTTTTAAATAATTATAATAGCACAAATTGAAAGTTTTTTTCTTTTTTAAAATTATTTATATTTGTTGTGAAATAATAGCTAAAGGTTGTTGAGATAAATAAATATTATTTTGTTGTGCTTGAGGTAATCTAAAAATATATTTAGAATATTTTTGAATTAAAAAAAACAAACATAGATAAATTAGTGGATATTTTGTTATTATTTTGTTGTTCAATAGCTAAAGAACAAGCTCTCCTTTTTAATAAATTTATTTGTTTTTGTTTTTCTATTGAATTTAAATTTCCATTAATTATTTTGTTTGTATTTAATGAACAACCATTAATACTATTAAAACGATTAGAATGAGATGGTTGTTTGGGAGAAATTGAAGAAGAATCTCTAATATGAAGGCCGCTTTAAAAAAATTTAAATTATTTAAAAGTATTTTTGGAAAAAATATTTAAAAGTATACAGGAGACACTGGTCGAAAGTTTCCAGTATATATTTTTAACAGTTTCATCAAAAATAACTTTATTAAAACATCAACCCCCCCTCACTCTCTCTTCCCGTGAAAGGAATCTAGTTGTGAAAATTTTTGTATTCTAAATAATTTAAGAAAACCCAACTTTTTAAAAGAATTTTCAGATTGTTGATTTGTATTAATTGTTGTTGTCCCGCCCCCGTTTATAGCCAATGTTCCCGTTGTTGTTGCCGAACATTGGGGAGTTATTCGAGGTGAAATAACCCCACAACTTGCACTCTAAATTAAATTTTTAAATTTAATTTTCATTTAATTTATTTTTACTTCATTTCCATCAGCTATAATTGTTGTGGGTGTTGGAGATAATTTTATTGGCAAAGTTAAAAGTCTAGCACAACGATTACGAAATCCTCTAACATAAAAAATAAAAACCCAAAAATTTGTTGAACAATTCTAAGGAAAATAATTTTATTTTTTTATTCCTTCGAAAAAATTACCAAAACTAATAACATATTCGAAAAATCAACACATAAAGTAGCCATTGGACTAGACATAAATGCTTCGTTTCCAATAAACTTTTTAAATTTAAATTTATTTTAAAATTTTCTAAAAATTTATTTACTGTCTCAAAAACATCCAAAACTGTCGGTAAAATATCAGAAATTAAAAATTTAACGATAATAACCACAATAAGTACATTAGCCCGATGTTCCTTCCTTTAAAATTTAAAAATAATATTTTTTTTCTTTTTATTATCCCAATTTTTACCCTCTAATTGAATTATTCTTTTTGTAAATATTTCCATTTTTTTGTCCCCCTAAAAGCATCATTTTATGTTGCTGTTTTTCATTAAATAAATTATTTGTTGATTTTTCTTCTTCTTTACCCCCATCTAAAAATAAAAATAAAATAATTTTTTTTAAACAAAATTGAAAGTAGGGTAGCAACCCGACCCTTGCCGGGGAAGGCATGTCGGGGTTCGGGTCGGGGTTTTTGCTAAAAAAATCCGTCGGGGTTTTCGGGGTCGGGTTGCTACCCTAATTCAAAATAAAGACAAACATTCACTATTTTCAGCATTATAACAATTTTTAATAATATTTTTATATTCATTATTTGTTGAGGAACAACGTAATAATTGTTGTTCACAATGACTACTTAAACGTTTACGTGAACGTTGTGCTTCTCCCAATGCAATAGTAATTCGTAGAGTTAAAATAAATGTTAAAAGACCTTTTTTTGATAAAAAATAAAATTAGAATTTTTTAATTAAAAAATTAAATTATTAAAGATCAAGGAAAAGGCAGTTAGAAAATAGAAAATATAATTATTGTAGTTCGGGGAATAACCACCCTAGGTAAAATTATTGTTCGACATCCCGCTTGAGAGAGTAATTAATCGAGGGAGGGCTACCTATTCGAGGTTTGAAGTTTGAACGTTTAGTAGGGCAAAAATTAAAAGTTTTTTTAATTTCTTAAAAATTACCAGGCAAAATAGTAACAAATGTTGAGCCTAACAAAATATGATAAAAACTTCGATAAAGTTGGTTCTTAAAAAGGAAAAATTGAAATTAATTTAAATTAAGAAAACTACTTGAGGTAATCCAGTTCTTTGTACATAAGAAATACATTCAATAATTATTGGAGAAGAAGAGGAAGAATGAGTGGGGGAAGATAAAATTAAAGAAGAAATTGAAGAGGAAGAATTAATTAAAGAATTATTAATTAATTGAGGTATTTTTGTTGTTGTTGGGAATTGTGGTTTTGAAGTATTAATACATTCTACAGCTGTGGCAACTTCAAAAAATCGTGGTAAAGAAAAGAGAATGGCAAGAATAGATAAACCAACAACCAAACGTTTTACTCGGCTAATTAAAAATTAATTTTTATTTTTTAAATATAATTTGCCTAATTATTTTTAAAATTAAAAATAATGATTGAAATTTAATTTTAAAAATTTTTTTAATTTCAAAAAAAATTTTTTTCTTAATCTTTAGAATCATTTTATTAAAAAGTATTTTTTAATAATTTTAATTTAAATCTACCTTCTTTTACTAAAAATTCGATGTTTGAATGGCATACAAAGTGCCAAATAACGATCAAGTGTTAAAGCTAATACCTAAATAAAAATTAATTTTTCTCCAATTAAACACAAAAAAACAAACAATCCAAACAGTCCCAGTGTGTGTAGCATTAGCTAACATATATGTTGGTGGATATAAATGGACATAAGGGCCTGTAGATATAACTGATCCCCAAAGTAAAGTTGGTAAACAATAAAGGACAAAAGCATTACATAAAAGTGCTGAATGCCAACAGGCTAAGGAAATCTAGGAGGAATTTTTTTAATTAAAAAAATATTTTTTTTTAAAAATTACTAAATAATAATGTATTATTGGAGGTGAACAACTCCCAGCATTTCTAAGCCTTACAAAAACGAGTACACATAAAGCATTAAGTACAATGCCTGACAAAACAAAGAGAAGTGTAAGAGGTCCATTTAATAACCAAGAAAGCTGTTAACAAAATTAATTTTATATTTAGAGTATTTAAAAAATAATTTGGGTATAAGGAGAGGGAAAGTTCCAATTATTCAATGAAAATTTAATAAGCTTAATAATAATAATTTCTAATAATAATAATTTGATAATAATTTTCTTTTCTTAATTAAATTACCATTTCTTGTATATAAATAAATTCTTCTTCAGTAAAGTAATTAGAGGAAAATAGGAAAACTTCAGCAAAAGATTGTTGTTGATTTTGATGTTCTTTTGTTATTAATGAACTAAAAAAGAAATTAAATTATTTTTAATTTAAATTATTTAAGATTTAACAAAGATTGATCAAAAATAAAAAATTAGTGAAAATATTTTTAAGAAAATCTCTGGGGAAATTTACACATCTGTCTTAAAAAATAAAAAAAATATTTTTTAGAGATATATACAAGACAAATGAAAAATAAAAAAGACAAATATTTAATAATAAATAATTTGTAAAAAAGTTAATAAAATATGACAGAAAATGAGTGATATACTTACTAACTTTACTAGCAAGAAATAATTGGTAAAATAAATTAATTAAATAAAATATTTTAATTAATTTTTGTGAAATATTTAATAACATAATTTTGCTTTAAATTTATTTTTTGTTGAATTTAAGTTAGAAATTAAAAAAAGAAAATAAATAACAAGTAATAATGTGTGTATATTCTTTGATTCTTTGAATGCAGAAAAAACACCCTCGAGACCAATAAAATTATAAAATATTTTTTAAAATTTTTGTCTGAGTACTTTTTTGGTAATAATTTTTTAAAAAAATGTTAAAAAAAAGCTCAAAATTTATGATTGTAGTATTTTGTAAAAAGAAATTTTTCTAGATAAGTTTCTCTATATTTAAGTAATAATATATAGACAGAATATACCGTAAATGCTATAATTAAAGCCCTGGGCTACTATTTTTCAACATGCCTCATTGACTGGGCATATACATAAGTATAGTAGATATGGGTTTCTATTAGAGCCGGGCTTTAATTAGAGCATTTACGGTATATAAATTATAATTTTTTTTGAATATGAAAACATTTGGATTTTAAATATTTTTATTTAAAAATAATTAAATAAATGATTACAAAAATATTTATTTACTAGACTAAACTAAAAGTATTTTGCTTAAAAAAAGGAAAAATAAAAAGTTACTTTTTCAGGAAATCATTAGTAATTCTTTAAATCTTTTCTTTCCCTTATGACTTTTGGTATGCACTTCCTTGTTTTTGTATGGGGAAAAGATTTAAAAAATTGACAAAATTACATAGATGATGTTATTTATTTAGACAAACTTTTTGTGTATTTTAAAAGTTTTTTTTTGGAAATTTTTGATTTTAAATTAAATATATTTTTAGAAATTTATGCCAATTTTAAATAAAATTGAAAAAATAATACTTAAACTTTTTTTCTAAATTTTAATAAAAAATACATATTTTTCCACAATAAATAATAATTATTAAAAAAATGAGGAATTTAAAAAAAATTTGATTAAATAAAGATTAAATATTTATAATAATAGTACTTTAAAGCCTAAAATTTTAAAAAAAGCTTTAGGAATTTTCATTTTAGAAACACATTCGAACCTCTATATATCTACAAATAATTCAACCCTTCTAAAGACAACAAAAAACTATACTCAGACTAAAAATATTTATTTATATTAAATGTTTTATATAAATAATTTAAAATATAAAATGTTTTTTCCCGTCTCACTAAACACGCAAAGAAAAATAATTTTTTCTAAACTATGTATGTACATTAACATTTTTGTTTTTTAAAGTGCTAACCAATTTATTTACTAAATTGACATGAAATAATGTCGAGAGTTTTTGGGGGAAAAGTTTAAAAAACTGTTGGCACTTTTCTGAAATTAAATGAAAGAAGAATGAGAAGAAGAAAAAATAAATAATTTAAATTATTTATCAGGGTTGTGCACTACTGGTTATTAACCGATACCCCCAGTTTTCGGTTAATCCGAATTTTAAAAACCCGGTTTTCGGTTTTGAGTTTTAGACAAATACCGGTTTTATTTTGAGGGAATTTTTTTAAAAATCACTCATTTTTCTTAAATTTCCGGGTTTTCGATTTTTAAAATTTCATAAGAACGGTTTAATTTTTGGCAAAAAATCTCAAAAATTCCGGTTTAAAAAAACCCTATTTATTTTACAAAAATGTTATTTTTTTAATTTCAAAAAAAAAAGATTGATAACTACAACTGTACCTATTTTTAATTAAATATATTTTCGAGATTGAGGAAGTTGAATTTTATAAAAAGAAAAAGTTTAGACTTTAAGAGAGTGCACACAAATAAATAAATAAAATTATTTTTTCCTTACCAAAGAAAAACTTTTTGGCATATTTTCAAAAAGAAAAATTTTTTATAAGGAAGTTATTTTTTTATAAAGGAAAAAATAAATAAAGTAAAAATATATATAAATAGATAGATAGTAGATATTCTGTGTTTGGTTTAAAAAGCATTAAATATTAGCTTGCATGCATGCTTCGTTGGTGGTCATTAGGCGAAAAAAATTAGATTAAAGGAAAGAAAAAAGTGTTAAAAATGAACAAAAAAGTATGTATTAGAATATATTACGTTTCTAGTAGGGTTATTGGAAAGTCAAAATATCTTTAGACACGTGAAAAGAAAAGTTTTTAGAAAAGTTTTTTTATTTTTACGTTTGATTAAATTAAGTATTATTCTTAAATTATTTAGACAAAATAAATTCTTAAAATTAAAAGAAAATTATTTTTGAATTTTAATTTTGATAATATTCAAAAATAATTAAAGAAAATATTAGAGATCGAGCTGAACATGGACCAAGGCCTGGATTTTTTCTGTACCCGAAGTTCTGATCCAGGCATTTTTTGACCTTCCTGGGTTTTTCCTGGACTACAGACCCGGGATCCGGCCCAGGTCAATAAATGAAACTCCAGAGTCCAGGAATCTCTATTTCTAGAAAATATATAAAAATAAAGATTTACTAATTTTTTTAATTAAATTTAAAAGAGAAAATAAAAAATGGCTGTTTAAATGAAAAAGATAATATTAAAAAAAGATTTTCAGAAAAAGATAAAAAAAATCAGGAAATAAATTTTGACGTAAAATTAGAAATTTATGTAATCTAAATAAATAAATATATTAAAAAATTATTTTTAAATCCTAATGAACTATATGTTAAGACTAATAAATTATATGTTAAGACTAATAATAATTATATATTAAAAATTAAAGATTAAATTATTATAATAAGGAAGTACTTTTTGGTGTTACTTTCAAAAATTCCCTTAAAATATTAAAATACTTTACCACAAGCCAGAAAGAATCCAAAAATTTTTGAAACAATATTCAGGATCCCTCAATGCCCTACATCAACCCTCACTCCAAAAACAACAAAATTTCAGAAAATTGGGAATTCTCTCGATTAGTTAAAGGCTCACATATATTAAAGATGGGCTTTTAGAGCATTTATGGTAATAATAAAAAATAAATATCGAGAAGAGAAATGATTCTTGATAATTAAAATATTTTTTAAAACTTTAAATTAAAAAATTAAAGTTTTTTTAAATTAAATTTTAGAAAATATTTAATTTAATTAATTTATCTACCCAAATTCATTTGTAATTATTTGACTTTCCATTGTTTGATTTTGCTGTTTTAAAAATAAATTATTTAAATTTTGTTGTTGTTGATTTATCATTTTTCTATTTATTAACCTCCATAAAATCATTCCGATAATTTAATTAAAATCATTATTTTTGTTGTTAATTTAATTTAAATTATTTTTTAATAAAAAATATCTAAAATAAAATATTTTTTAATATAAAAATATTCTTTTAATAACCTTTCTATTAAAACGTCTTTTATATTTTTTTGAGTGCGCAAAATTAAAATATATAATTTTGTTTTCCTAAGGGATTAGAATAACATCAAGAAAATAATATTTTTTTTAAAACTGTTATTACTCATTAATTTTTTAAAGAATATTTCTGAATTAAGTAGATGAATATTTATATATTTAAATATCTATTATGTATTTTTATCCTTAGAAAAGATAAATGTACTTGTAGTTTAAATATAGAATAAAAAAAGTAAAATAAAACGAAAAAAAGATTAATCTTAATTTTAAAAATTGATAATTGGCCGAAAAACTTTTTCTGTTTAATTTAAAGAAAAATAATTAGGAAAGAAAATCTAAAAGTAGATCTAAAATGAGATGGGAAATTTAGCTTTTTTTCACTAAATTTATGAAAATTTGAATATTTGAATTATGGAGGTAAATAACGATGAAATTATTTCAATTTTTGTTATAAAAAATAATAGTTTATAGCAACATAGCAGGGATTGCCGAAACAGATTTTAAAAAGCGAACACACCTGCTACATAGGTCTAGGTCCCCACTCAAACCTTCTTTTTTATGTGTCGAAAATTAACTTTAATATGTCCAAATAAATCAAAATATTTTTTATAATATCCAAAAATTAAAATAAAAAATTAAAAAAAAAAGATTAAAATTTAAACAAATATTTATGTAAATCTACTAAAATCAAAAGTCAAAAGATTTAAAATTTATTTTTATATAATTTATTTTTTAATTTACATAAAAAATATTTAGGCAAAACAAAAATATATTTAAGATTATTTTATTAAAAAAATATTAAATATGTATTTTATCAAAACAAGTAGGAATATTTTTGTTTTTGTTGAATTCGACTTTAAATTAAATAAATTAAAATTAATATAATTTTTATCAAAAATTAATCTCTAAAATATTGAAAAATATTTTAATTTTTTTTTGATAAAGAGAATTTATAATGTTGCTCTTTTCAATAAAATTAATAGAAAAAAATTAAAATAAAAAAATAAATCTTGCTTTTTTAATTTATTTTTTTAATTAAAAATTAATTAAAATTTAATTTTAGAAAATAATTTTAATTTTCTAAATTTGGCTAGAATTTTAGTTAATTTAAGTAAAATAATTCCAAAAATGAACTAAAATTAGGGGAAGAGAAATAAAAAGGAGTAAAAATAGAAGATTCTTCTTATTTTTTCACTCCTTTCTCCTTAAAAACATTTCCGGAAAAATGTTCGTGTCATTCCCTAATATATATTGCTTTTTTAATATATCTTACTATTTATGTAATAAATATATTCCCAAAAATAGAAATAAATATATTTAATTATTAAATAATAATATTTTCATCAACTTGAAAGTTGGGAAAGAAAAGCTTTTTTAAAGATGTCTATAAAATTTTAGAAATAATAAAAATAGGTAATATTCTTTAATCAAAATAAAATTTCACAAAGGTAAGGCTAACTATAGTGTAGTGATGGTCGAGACTCTCAGTCTCGGTTCTCGAGGCGGGAAATTTCTCGGGTTTTTTGAGCTCTCTGTCTCGATTCTCGGCTTTTTTAAACTCTCGACCATCACTACTAGAGTGCGGTATAACAAATTATTTTACAATAAAATAGGTTTTGATTAGACGATTCTAAATATTTTTGGCTCTTCTGATATGTACAGAAAGAAAAAAATTTAAAATTATATTAATTAAATGTTTATCGCTTCTTAATCATTTTACTTGTAAAATAATTTTAAAAAATAAATTATATTTGATATATATTTATCAAATTATAAAAAAAGTTTTAACAAAAAATTCCCCAATTATATATTAATATTTACTGATGGATATGCTGGCTATATTTTTTCTAGTCTTTTTTTCTACAAAAAGTTGTCTCTTTCGCTTATTGAATATTTCCTAGAATTAAATAAATAAAAATATACACACATTTTTGTCCTAAAAGATAAATTAACCAAAAAATTGGCATAATTTATTTAAAATAAAAATATATATAATAATTTACAAAAAAAAGAAAGAAAGTTTTTTTTTAAATAATTATTAATCTGGAGAATTTATTTATGGAAAGTTTCTAAATTAATTTACAGTCGAGATTCCCCCTTTGATATATAATTATCTACACAAATAAAGATCCCTTTTCCTTTAACAAGCTCTAGACTAACTTGAAGCGACTTTCTACTATTAATAGAATTTATATGAAAAAAGGTATCAAATTCTAACTTGCAGAATTTACAGTCGAGATTCCCCCTTTGAGTTTATTAAAAAAATTAAAAAAATATATATTAAAAAATAAAAAAAATATTAAGTTTATTAAAATTAAGTTTATTAAAAAAATAAAAAAAAATATTTCCTTATTAAATAATTAATTTTTGAGTAATATTATCGTTATTTTATTTTTAGTAGAAAAATATAAATAGACATGTTTGTCAAGCATTTGTTTTCAAATGCACTTGACATATAAATAAATTGAAAATATGTATAAATATGTTTATATTATGAATAAATTATTTAAATATTTTGTGCAAGCAAACTTAATGATAAACAACAAAAAAGAATATTTTTTTAATTTGTTCTGGTATGGTAACTTAAGAGAAAAAAATAAGGTGAAATTAAGCCTGTATATTTTGATTTACAGACAAAAATAAATCGGAAATTCGACTTCAAAATTATCCACGGATTTTTCCACCCTTTGAACGATTTTTAATTCGCGCACTTCCTATATCCTTTTGTCAAAATAGGAAAATTAAAGGTATAACGCTAACAATTCGTATTCAATTGTTTTTTGATATTTATTTCCTTCTTTTTAAAAAATATCTGTTAAAAATAAATAACCGTAAATATTTAATTATTTAAATATAAAATAATTTTTAGTCTTTAAATTAATTTAAAAAACATCTACCTATTTAAATATCTCCTCCCACGCAAGCAAAAGCCTAAAAGAAATTTAATTAAACTTTTTCACAATTTTTAAACAAAAGGTGATGCTAAAATAAAAGGAAAATGTGCAAAAAGAGAAAGAAATGCCAAAATAAACGAACTGTAAAAATTAGTTTTTAAAGATTTTTTCATATTTAAATTTTTTATACTGCTGAAAAATAAATACAAATTTCCGTGTATTTTTTAGATTTAAAAGGAAATTAGAATGAAAAAATTTTGGACTCTGGTTTAGGATATGCCAGTATAATTAGATCTCATAAAAATGTTTATTTAATTCTCCGGGTCTATAATGCTTGCTTTGTGTGCTGCAGCATTTTTTGGTGTTCATGATCAGGATCATAACTCATATGTTTATTTAAATGAACAAAAGGTGATGCTAACTTTATAAATTATTATTATTAGTATCATACACATTCCCTAATCATTGTACCTATTCACTCCAGAAACAATGGTCAGTTGGTCTTGATTACTTGCATTTCCTAAACAAAAAAACCAGAGTCTAAACCAGAGCCAATTTTGAGTGATATAAAAATAAAATAAATTTAGAATAGTTACATAAATATTTAATTTAAAATTATTTTTATGAACCAAACATCTTTAAATAAAACTATGTAGCTTCTTTTCAGATTTTAGAGTCAAGATCTAACAAAAGATTTAATACATATAAAATTATTTTATGTAAATATATATTAAAGAGTTTTAAATAAATATTAAAGACTTTTCATTCCTTTACTAATCGCAAAAAAGCTTCTTGTCAGCTTGTGATCCACATATAAAATATTTTAGTGGACTAAGGAAATGTAAACCACTCACCACGTGGTTGGTTTTAGTTTTGTTATTATTTACGTATTTATATGCAGGAATTATTTTATAAAAGATTATTTTACATACTTTCATTTATTTAAAAACTATTAGAAACACGCATATTCCATTAAGTTTTTAAAAGAAAAAAAATATTTTTTATTAAAAATTTGAAATTTATAGAAATTTTTGCATATTTTTTAAAACTTTTTTTAATTTAACTAATAAATTTTCTAATTTACTTCAATTATTTATTTAATAAAAAAATTATTTTGACTTTAAATTAAACACTTTAAATCTTTAAAAGTATATAAGGAATGCACTTAAGCAAATTACTGAAAGGATGAGTGTTGAAAATAATATGTAGATGTGGAGGTTTACATTTATTTATAAAAACCGGAAATGTTCCCCCACATTTACTACTTATAGAATATTTATTAAATGTAAAATTTGCCTTAAAAGGGTCTGAAACTGACAAGTTTCTAATGCAAAATTTGTAAATAAATAATGATGTAAGGCAAGTTTATTTTGCAAACAAGTCTATGTAAACGTTCAAAATGTTTATAGAAAATGTTTGAAAAAAGATCGCAAATTTTTTCATTTAATTTACAATTTTGGTGTGTGAATTTAGGCCAACAAACAATAGACCACTCTTAAATGAACAAAAATAGCCATAGTTAAATATTAGTTTGCGTCACTTAAATATGAGAAACATCATCCTCCTAATTATAGTATTATTTGTTTATTGGACAACTTGTGGAAGACTGGGGGAGAATTAAAATAAACAATGCAGAAAGTCACTACATTTATTTGTTAGGGATGCAAAAATTCCCTGTTCAGTCAAAATCAAAAATTGGGAGCCGAAAAAAGACAAAATAAAAAAGATCAAATTTATTTAATAGACGAATTAAACTAAAAAATAATTGGTGCAGAATTATATAAAGAATATTTATCATCGCAACTTTTTGGTGGTTAACAAGTTAGAATGTAAGAGAGATTTGATCAAGAAATTCATCAAATTTCTTCATTGTTTCACTTTCTAAATCTTTCATGGTTTCCAAAAGAGCAACTTTCAAACGACCTGAGAAAATATTATTGAATAAATTTAACAAATTTAATTCTTAACCCTCCAAAGTTTTATCCTTTTCAACAAGTTTTTGAGTAACAAATCCAAAAGTTTCACAATCATTTCGATAACTCTTAAAAATTTAATAAATTATTTTTAATTAAATATTCTTTTCATTTTTACCTGTTCAAATTCTCGTTTTTTCTTTGCCACACATTCTCGTAACTCTACAGATAATTTGTTAATTTTCTCTTCACGAATATTGTCAGAAATTTGCTGTTTGGACAAAGAACCTTTAATTTAAATTTAATATTCTTATTTTAATTCATTTTAAAATAAGTATACTTAAATGAAATCCTCCCTGATTTTCATCAACATTAGCATTTGTTGACATTTTGCATTTTATATCCTTTAGAATTTGACGCTGGAAAATAAATTAATATATAATAAAATCTACGTCTTAATAATGCAGAAAATATTTTGGAATTAATGACAACCTCACTAGAGGTGGAACCCGTCAAATTTAAGCTCAAATTATTATAATTTACCTGTATGTCTTTGAAGAAATTATTTGCCATGGCACCACTCTCACGGACCGGAGAAGACATAATTTGATCAGAATAAGCAGAAGCTTTGACGCTACGAACAACAGGAGGTTGTTGCAACGATTCGAGCTCAACACGCGGGCGTTTCGCGGCTACATCGTCTAAAATTTTTAAATAAAGTTAATGAGCACAGGTTCTTTCAAACATTTACTTTCAAAAATGAATTAGGTATATACTTTTAAACATCAAATACTACTTTCAGACTGTTAAAAATAAAATATACTCTAAAGGGGTTCTGGTTTCAATCCATTGCAATTTATTTTTGCAAGCAAAATTCGAATAAACCCACCTTTAGTAGCCTTGGTACCGTTCATCGGTTGATAGACTATGCCAGGTTGTTCTGACTTAAACTTTGGAATGGACGCATTCTATTGTAATAAAATGACAATTTAAGCTAAAACATCAATCTCATACCGAATCAAGATCCACAGTAAAAGTCTGTCGAAATTTGTTATCCTCTGATTGTTTACTCTTAAAATATTATCAATTGGAAAAAGTATGAAGGGAAAAAAGCTAAAAATTATTAAAAACAAAGTTTTCACTTGAGTGGACAAAACTTCATGCTGAACATTTTGACCAGAATGTTTTTGTTGTGATTGTTGATTAGTAGCGAGAGAGCCTACAACTACACGGCGATGTGTAAACTTAAGAATTTAAATAAAATTATAAATTCAGCGAGGGGATAAAATCATTGTTATTAAAGCTCTCTAGCAACAAATCAACCAATCAAGATTAAAGTAATGGGTAGAGCTGTGAATTTTATGCATTAAAAAATGCAAAATATGCACTATAATATGCATAAAAAATTGCCGAAATATGCACGAAAATATGCATGAAACCCAAAATATCCACGCAAATATGCATGAAAAATACAATTTATACCTAGAAATTTTACATTTTTTAGTAAAATACATTTAAACACCTATTTTTATTAAGATTACTCCAAGTTTATATATTTTGTTCAACAAATTGAGTATTTTTACTCTGTTGGACATTTTGAGATGAGACGTTTTGGTGGTGTGACATTTTTGGGGTCGGACATTTTTGAGTCGCGTCCAAAAACAAAAAAATTTTTTTTACAAAATTCTTAATTTTACAAATTTTTTCCAAAATTTTTAGAAAATTTTCCCCAAAAACTTCAAAATATGCAGCAAAATATGCATTATGCAGCAAAGTCTGAAATATGCAAAAATATGCATTATATGCAAATAGAAACCCCCTTTAAAGTTTTCAAACAAGGCTAAAACAGTGTTTTTTGTGCTTTATACATCATGCCAAGTTTGCAAAAAAATATGCATTTGCATAAAAATCACAGCTCTAGTAATGGGTCTCTTAAAAGCTTTAACAAAAGACCTGCGCATCTGGACGTGTTGGCCCAATTGGTTTACTCATCGTTATAGTCATTTGAGGTTGTCCTTGATTGGCATTTGCATATTTTGACGGAGGTGAAGACTCTCCATCACTTACATCAATATCAGAACCTTCAGTTCTCTGAGTTTTTGCCGTATGAATATTTGGAGAAGAAGAATAATGTTTGCGTTTTTTCTTCTCTTTTCGCTCCTTTTTCTTGCTCTTCTGTTTCTTAGGTGGTGGTGAAGGAGAACGTTCCTTCTTCTAAAATAAAAATTTAAAATTAAAAAATAAGCATTATTCACTACGATATCAGAATAATCCAAAGATTTTGGTTCGGAATGCTGTGATGACTGGGACGACACCGATTTACTTCGAGAACGCGAATCCGCATCAGAATGTGTAAGACTACGATGCGAAGGAGAACCAGACACAGATCGACTCGCGGATTTGTTACCGCCACTATATTCTTCTGTCGGACCTCGCTCAGGAGAACGAGTATAAGATCTGAAAAGAGTGAGAATAATTTAAACATTATGAAAACCTCGACCGACGCCCACTGCCGCGATGTCCTGAACTACCATGGTTATTAAAGCGAGAAGGTCTAACTCCTTAAACAATGAAATATTACAAGAAAATAGGCGAATAAAGACCTTGTTTGGCACAATGAGCTAAATAGCGGCGAATATCCCGGAACCAAGTCAGTTCTACTTCGTGACCAAGAATAGTGCCTTCTTTTTGACATCTAAAATTTTTAATTACATAAGCTTAAAGAAAAAACTTACTTTTCCATAATTTTGCGAGCCACAGTCTTGCTTTCAAAGCGTACAGCAACATAAAGCTTCAATCTGTCTGGCGAAACTTTGACAAAATCAAAAGTGCATCCAGTATCCTTTCCAAAGAAATCACTAAAAAAGAGAAATATATTTACTGCCCTTAACAATTCAAAATCAAAATTTCTTGTCGTCAATCTCTTCTTGGCCACTTACCACGCTCAAGTAATAAGCGCCAATTAAATATAATAATAATTAATCATTCCATCAATTAATATTTTCTTCAAAATTATGGTAATATAATTATAAAAATGGTAATTTCTCAAAATATAATTTTCGAAATAAAATCCAATTTTGACCAAATATGCACGGAGAACTATAAAATTCCCTCTAAAATCGTGTAAAACCTTCAAGTGCATTGTAAATTGGCTTGGTAATTGGGTAATTTGTAAAATACTTTCAAATTATACGACGTAAAAGAATAACAAACAAATAAATAGTTGACTTGATAAAAGGAATAAATTGGCCCAAAAAATATTTTTAAAATGATTTATAAGGAACTGAAAGCCGTTAATTTAATAAGTGCATTTGTCTCGTAAACTTAAATTAGTGCAGTATTCATCAAAAAGCACAAATATATTTTTATTGAAATTTTGTAGAGCCTAAAGCTGAGAATATCAAAAAATTCAATAAAAATCAAATGAATTTTATAGGCGTAGAAACATTCCGGATCGACAATCAGTACATTTATATTAAAATTTAAAGGTGCTATATACGCCTATTTATAGAAAAAAAACAACAAAAGGAGAAAGGAAGATGTATAAATAAAACTAAATTTTAAACAAACAAACCGAAGCTCCTCAGTTGTCAATTGTCCAGGCAAACCACGAATGAAAATTGTATGCTAGAATTATTAAAAATTAAAGGAAACAATAAACAAAAAACCTGGCTTTCGGGAACATCCCGTTCATTTATTCTATCACGACGATACATCTAAAAAGTTGTTTTAAGATATGTATCTGAGGACTTGCACAAACCTGACCAATTTAATTTGTTTCAAATTCAAAATAAACAGTAAACTATAGATGCAATTTCAAGTAAACTTGTCTAAAAGATATCAGAATAGTAAATTTTGGGTCACAACAATGTTAAAATGCTAATAAAACCCTTGTTTTGGACATCATTCTTTTTATATTTAATTTGCATTTTTTGTAAAAAGTTGGTAAAAACTTGATAATTAACTATGATACATACACACAAAACACAAAAAACTCGAAAATACAAAATCTACGTGACATCTAGAGACCGGCACGGGACGGGACCCCGTACGGGATTTTACGGGATCCCGTCCCGGAATCCCGGGTTTTTCGCGGAAAACGGGATTACCGGGATTCCGGGATTTACGGGATTAATCCCGCGGGATCCCGTCCCGGTCGAATTTTGAAAACCCAATCCCGTTCCGGGATCCCGGGAATTTTTTTCAAATTTACGGGATTTATAATTACTCCAGTAAACTGCCTGCGGAGCTGAAAAAGGAAGAAATCTGGCTTCTTGGCCGTCCAAAATTCTCAAAATTTTCGCCTGCGGCGCTGAAAAAGGAAGAAATTTGGTGACTTGCTCTTCAAAAATTCTCAAAATTTTCGCCTGCGGCGCTAAAAAATGAAAAAAGCTGGCTTCTTAGCCTTCCAAAAAAAGAAAAATTCGAAAAGTTTTGCCTGTGGTGGATGGATTACGAGTAATAAGAATGGATCTTTGAGATTAACAGAGATATAGAGGGATTGTGAGGTGTACGTTGGTTTGTAATTTAAATCGTCTTAAGTTCAATTCCGGAGGATTAAGAGATATATGTATGATATTGGGGTATTGGAAAAGGATATCATGAATTTGGGATTAACACCAGATTAAGAGGGATTTGGAGGATAATAGGAGGTATCAGGGATTTATGGATTAAGAAGTATATCGAGGATCTGTTGATTAAGAGTATATTGAGGGATTAGAGGAATAATCCCCATATATCCATTCAAATCCAGTTGAGCCTTAAATCCGCTATATTCGACCTAACCCACCGTTCTTCAAATCACCCTTTACCACTCCAAATATACCGATATCACCCTAAATCCACCTATAAGCATTCAAATCCTCTTAATCCCTCTTAATCCACTGATATCCCTCTTCATACTCTTATATCTATTCATTCCTCCCTTAATCCATCGAAATCAACCGATATTGACCCAAAATCCGCCAATATTCAAGTTATTTTTAATTTAAAATTTTTTTTGTGAAAATCCCGGAATCCCGGCGGGATCCCGGGAAATTTGAGAACGGGATTACCGGGATTACGGGATTTACGGGATTAATCCCGCGGGATCCCGTCCCGTACAAAATTTTGAAAAAAAATCCCGTTCCGGGATCCCGGGAATGCGATTTTGCCGGACTCTAGTGACATCCGACTTTTCCAAAAAAAAAGTGACGAATTAAAAATAAAAATCAATAGATCGCACCAGACATTTTATCCGTTTGATTGCCAACATTTTCATCGCCAAACCGTTTCATTGTTTTTTTGGGACTTGCCAAAACAACGCACGGCCATAACAACTCAAAGCCATAACTTGCTTCAAAATTTCCAAATCTTAACAACTTTAGTATTAAACGATTCCTCTCATAGAGCTAAAGAGATTTGTACCAAAATTGATAAGGGCAAGAAATTTACCGGCTAATAATTAGAGTTCGAACTTTTCAAAATGCCGGGCCCGGGACCCGGTTTTTTTTCTCAAAATAGCACCCGGACCGGTTTTTCCGGATAAAACCGGGAAAACCGGTTAGCCCGGAAAAACCGGATTTTTTCAGACCCGGGCCCGGACCCGGTTTTTTCTAAATTTATTAAAAACATGAAAAAAATTATCACACATACAAAGGATCGATTAAAGGATAGATGAATTAAAGGATAGATGCGCTAAAGGATAGATAGCAGGCGTGTCCGCAGGTGAAAAAAATTTTCCGCAACCGCAATTTTATTTTTAAAATCCGCATCCGCAACTCGCAATTTTTATTTTAAAATCCGCAGACGCAATCCGCAAGTCAAACGCAAATCCACAATTTTTGAAATAATTGGCAAGTCAAACACAATCCGCAATGTTTGAAATAATTGGTAGCCTGGGAAAATAAGGGGATTTGAAGCATTTAGGAAGCTTCCATGTGATATCAGTGATTTGGAGTGATATAGAAGATTATGAATTTGAAGGGATCCATAGAGAACTCATGAGATTTGTAAGAACATTAAGGGATATCAGAGAATTAAGCCCTCGATATACTTCTTAATCCCATTAATTTCTCTTCCCTTTTTAAAAATTTTGAGAATTTTGGTAGGTAGGCCCCCAGATTTCTTCCTTTTTTACCGCCGGAGGCGAAAATTTTGAAAAATTGGATGGCCAAATAGCTATATTTCTTACATTTTTTGACTTCGTCAAAAAGACTCCGGGCCCGGCAAAAAATTACCGGGCCCGGGACCCGGTTTTTTTACACAAAACCGCACCCGGGCCGGTTTTTCCGGTTAAAACCGGAAAAACCGGTTAGCCCGGAAAAACCGGATTTTCTAAAAAATACCCGGTTCCGGGCCACCGGGCCCGGAAAAAACCGGTCCGGGCCCGGCCCGGGTTCGAACTCTACTAATAATATTGGTTTTGCGTTGTTATGGCCGCGCGTTGTTTTGGCTGTACCCGTTTCATTTTTTCCAGTTTATTTTTTTTATTAATTTCTTTAAGATGCCGAAGGCAAGTAAACGAAAATTTAATCCGGCTGTCAGAAATGTTCCAACTTTTAAAAAGAAAAAAATTAAAGTTGGTCGGCATTTGCCTCATTTAAACTCTACAAACACCGAAATTAAATCTAAAAAAATTATTCTTACTGAACAAAATGTTGTTAATGAATTAAGTACTTCTGTTTATGACAAAAGTGATGGAAAACCTCAAATAAAATCAATTGACGTTATTATTTCACAACTTTCACATCATAACGAGAATATGAGTAGAACAGCTATTTGTGGTATTTTTTTAGAAATTAATTTTAGAAGAAAACAATTTAAGGTGTTCGAAATTATTTTAAAAACAATTTGAACGAATTGCTCCGTCATTTACACAAAATTATTGTTCGAATTGGTCCATTAATGTTAAAAGAAGTAAATTTAACTTTTAAATTATTTTTATTTTTAAACTCTTCCGTTATCCCTACCAGAATTTTTTTGCGGACTTTTTTCACTTTTTGCGGACACGGTCATTTTAAAAGAGGAAATACATATATAAAAGAAAAAATCATTCCAATGACCAATATTTCCTTCAAGTAAACATGATTTCTTCAAAAACGTCATTTTCGCCAATCATTTTCTTCAGCATAAACTCGGCAAGATAACTCTTAGGAAGAAAAATAAATGTGTCCGCAAAAAGGAAAAAAAATTCCGGAAAAAAATTCTGGTAGGAATAACGGAAAAGAACTTTAAATTCCTTTCATTTTCTATAGCTCAATCAAAAAAGTACAAAAATTGAGTTTAATTGCTTAATTGATCAAATTTGTTCTCTTCCTTCAGATGTTTTAAATTCTCATTTCCAACTTTTTTCTGCTTATGTTCTCACAGCTATTTTGGATGTTCGAAGAAATATTCGACAAATGGCTTTTAATATTTTAATTTTACTTTTCAAAAGATATCCAAAATTGTGTTATCAAAAGGAGGAAATTTTTGAAAAATTTTTGTTGGTTTTGGATGGACCTAGAAGACCAACAGATGACAGGTTTTTTTTGGTTTTATTAAAATATTTACGAAATATTATTTTAATTAAATGAGTTAGTTTTTAAAGGATAATTTCGAATAATTTTTAAAATTTCTATTATTAAATTCAAAAACATGTTTCCTCAAATTTTCAAAAATATTTTAATTATTTTGATATTTTTAAAGGAAAGAACTTTTGGATGCCATTTATTTATTTCTCATCACATTCTCCACTTTCTCTGAAAATTCTTTAATTTGGCCTGAACGTGAATTAAAATTTGATTTTTCTTGCAAAGAACAAACAAATTCAACCGTTAGATTATTACCAAATCCAAATTGTTTTGATTTTCCTGTTTTGTATAACAGTTAGTTTTTTAAAATAATTTTTTAAATCTTTGTCTCGAAAATTGGGTTGGGGGCCCGATTCGGTTCAGTTCGATAGATCGAACCGGGCCTCGATTTTTGGCTCGAAAAAGACTCGAACGGCCCGGTTCGAAAAATCAAACCCTACTCAAAAACATTTTTGGATTAAATTTATGGAAGGCGATGGGTCTTTCTAATATTAATTATTAAAATATTCTAGTTCTTCGATTATCCCTCAAAATTTGAATTAATTTTCTTTAAATTAATTTTTTTCAAAATAGAAACTGATACAAAAACATCCTTCCTGCAAAAATCTGATTCACTTATTTATTGTTGTAAAATTATTTGTCCACTTATTTTGTCTATAATTTATGAAATGGAATGTGAATCTGACAAAGTAGTTAATCCAATAATGTCAAGGTTTTTTAAAAAATATTTTTTAATTTTTTTAAAATTTTTCCAGAATTAATTTAACTTTAAATAAATTAATTGATATTGTTGTTATTTTTATTGAAAATAATCAAAAAGAAAATAATATTAAAGATGAATTAAGAAATATATTTGCTCCTTTGAAGAAATGTTCTTTTATTATTAAGAGCAAAAAATTGTTGAAAAGATTGGATTTGATATTGAAAATTTAAATTATTTGTTTTTTTTTTGTTTAAATTTAATTTATTAAAAATTTTTAGAATTTTTTTTTATTTTATTTAATTAATTTTATATTACATATTTTATGAATTTTTATTTATTTTTAAATTTATTTTAAGAACTTCGCTTAGGCAGTGGTCTAACTTCTCTTTTCCTGTCTAGTTTTTTGTTCGTGAAATATTTCTTTTTTTGGTTATAGAATTAAATTAAATTTAATAAAATAAAGTTTTAATTTTTAGATGCGTCGTCGAATAGCAGAAAATTCAAATGCTGAAAATGAACGTAAAATTCGTGAACAACTTTTTCGACGAACATTTGCAGCTTCTGCACGACGTGGCGGTTATGATCGTCGGTCAGATGCGCTAAAACAACAAAGTGAGAAAACAACAGAAATGCTTAGCAATTTGGTTTCGAAAATGAGTGAACAGGTGAAAGATTTGTTGAAAATTAAATTTTTGGTGGAGACCTAAAGAATGGTGCACCACAGCTTACCGCAGAGCTATAACTTCGTTCAGAATTGTTGAATCCGGGACGCCCTGGTATGGTTGGATTCAGCTCGTCGAGGCGCATCGAACCATTCCAGGGCGTCCCGGATTCGACAGTTCTGAACGAAGTTATAGCTCTGCGGTAAGTTGGCCTGCTCCTCCTAAAGGCCAACCAACTTGCTTGCTTCTCCTCCCCTCTCCTCCTTGGCCTGCTCCTCCTAAGAATATTTTCTTTGGTCTATTAACTTTATATTTTAATTTTTAAAGGTTGAACAATCTGAACAAAGCACAGGTGCATTAATTCATTCCTCCTCAGTATTACGAGATTCCCACTCCAATTTTGACGCTGTTTCTTCAACAATTAAAAGCGGAGGAAAATTAATTTCAAAATATGGAAGACGTGAATGTACAGATAAAATACTTATTGTGCTCGCATTACTTTTATATTTTGGTGTTTGCCTTTATATCCTGAGAAAGCGCATTCCATGGCTAAGTTGGAATTGGTTTGACTGGATTGGTGATTGATACATTGAATAAAAACTTTTTAATGTTTTGAGGAAGCTGTGATGATTTTTATTGAAAAATATTATAAAAATTGTATATTTTATCATTCTTGTGTCAATAATAAAGAGTTTAGCTTTATCACTTTAATAATTTGTTAGCTTGAAATGAGTAGATAGGAGGATTCCTTGTTTTATTTTGAATTTATGCTTAATTTCTGTATTTTATTGATTAAATTGGCATTGTGTATTTATTTCTTACTGTATAATCGTCGATTAATCCATTTTTTATTCTTGCTGCAATTGCTGTGATCACAGCAATTGCTGTGATGGATTTTTGATTTTATCTTTTTGGCATCAATCATTTTGTATTTTATTCTTAATTTATTTTTTAATTACCTCCTAAGATAACTCTAAAACTACCCTTCATCAAATTATGGTTACATAAATATGCAGTTTTTTTGGAGAATCAGTTTGTGGATGATGATCTCTTTGCCAACCGGTATGTTTTATACTTTCCATAAAAGACTTTTTAATTCAAAAAATTCTAATTTATATGTAAACTATCAAAAATTGGAAATGTTAAAATTGAGCTGAACACTTTCGAGGAGCTGATATTTTCTTCATGACTTTCAAACAAAAATCAAAAAATTTGCACATGCGTGCACAAATAAACGCAATGAAATTTTAAATGTGCACGAGCCAAATTATTTGAATGAGCTAGTAATTGCTCTTTAATCCAACAAATCTTCAATTTCTTGCGACCTTAAATAAATTTAACTCCAATTTTTATCGCGCTAAATTTTGTAAACATTGAGATACTTCAGATCAAACTGTTTTTTTTTGTCAAAAATTTATTAGGATAAAAATATTCTGTGAAAAATATTTAAATTATTAAATCAAAAATTTTTTTAAAAATATTTCTGAAAATCTTTTAATAATTATATGTAAATGATCGAAGTATCCTTTGCGCTTTCCTTTGAATCGTTACGACTAGAGGTCGGTAAAATCACATTTGCAGGATCCTGTATCAGGATTGGGTTTTAAAATTTTGACAGGACGGATCCTGCAGGATTAATCCTGAAAGCTGAAAAAGGCAGGATTTCGTACAGGATCCTGAAAAATCCTGTGCAAGATCTTGTCCTGCGCTGACCTCTAGTGACGACCTTTTGGGGGCATACTTTAATTCCTATTCGATTATGGATTGGATATCCCCGTTCACAATTATATTTTGCCCTCAAATTGTCCCCTTTATCCGATACTATTTTTCATTTTCTTTTCTTCGATTGGTATATTTTAAACATTTTTTAAACCGGAAAATTTAAATTCAGAGATTTAAAAACATCAAAAAATTTTAAAATTTTGTTGCCAACTGTCTTTTTTGAGTGCAAACAAGCTGTTGAGAATGTAAGTTGTGTATAGCTGTCGGTGTTTGATGGAAATGAATGCCGGTAGAAAGCTTTGCAAAATTTCAAAATTTTGATAACCCCTTAAAATTTAAAAATTTTTTTAAAAATTCAAAACTAACATTAATAAATTATAATTTAAGTAATTCGGCTAAAATTGCAAAAAAATCAAAAATAAAATTAAATATTTCCAAAGCTTTAAGCCATCTATTTTTTATCTAAATTATCTTAATTTTTTTATTTTTAGTTCCATTAACAACAAATTCTGTTTATTATTTATTTCTGCAACATTATAAAATTCTTCAAATATGGCAGGATCTTCTGGAGCAGCGCCGGATTTTAGTGCTTATGGAGCTACAGGAGGTGCGGTGAATGAGGTGATGATTTTTAGTGTCTAACTTTATCAATTCCGACCTTTGGATAAAATTCATTTTTAGGCTTACGGCTATGGACAGCCCGCTTATGGTGGAGCTGCTGCTCTTGGTTATGGATATGGAACATCAGCATTCGGGGCAGCCTTTCCTGCCGACATGAGTTCACCATTAGATGCTGAAATTCAAATTGTTTTGAGGGAAATCCATGGAGAAGTTCAATTATTAGAGCAATCTGGGGAATATGGAGAACAATTTAAGAATGCAAGGCGTCTTTTGGCAACGGGTTTCTTTGACTTAATATTTTTAATTTTACTCTTAAAATCATTTAGAAGCAACAAAACTTGAGAATAACATTGATCCTGAATGGCTTGAAGTTGATATAAATAAACCTATTAAAGTCACAAAGAAAATTTTGGTTCCAAGTTTTCGTCATCAAAAGGTTTTTAAATACATTCTAAAATAATTTATAAAATATTTTTAAGTTCAATTTTGTCGGTAAAGTTCTTGGTCCAAAGGGGACGACATTGCAAAATATTGCCAAAACATATAAATGTCATGTTTACATTCTTGGACGTGGAAGTACTCGTGATAGAGCAAAAGAGCAGGTTTACATCTTTAAATACATACAAATTTATCATCCAAATGTTTAGTAATCTAAGGACATTTTAGACGGTTTTTGTGAAATTTTTTTAACAGTTTTCGTCTTTTCCAAAACTTTTTTGGTAATTGCTCTTATCTAATTTTACCAGAGAAAACATTTTTTGTGAAACAAAATATTATTTTAAATTTAATTCTATTAATAAACTTCCAAAAAAATTTTAGGAATTGTTAGCGGGTGGCGATCCACAATACGCGGTAATTTATTGTAAATTTTTAGAAATTCCAATTTACATCTTTTTAGCATTATGGCGGTCCTCTTCACGTCAAAGTTGAGACAACAGCTCCGCCAGCAGTTGCATATCAACGAGTTGCAGGTGTTCTCAATGTTCTTTCGGAATTACTCCAACCAGTTAGTTTCTTTAACTAATCATTAAAATGAATATTTAAATGAGAATTTTAATTTTCAGGTCAAAGACACACATATTGAAGGTATCACAACTGAGCCGAACCCAACAAAACAAGATGACGACGGGGAAGGTAGTGGTGGAGATGGAGGGGACAATGATAAGAAAAATGGAGCAGACTCGCCTGGCGGACCGAGTAAATATTTTATTTTGAAATTTTAATCAAAAAATAATTTTCTTCAGTGAAAAGTTCATTACCTCCTCGATCGCGCGGTGGTCATGGTCATGGAGGTGGGGGAGGTTATCCTCCTCGTGGTCGTTTAAGTGCTACTACTAATATGCTTCAACGTGGTTTTATTCCTCGTGGACGTGCTTCAATGCCTGTCAAAACACATTCTTCTGGATTCAAACCGTATTGATGGGGAAGGGTAAAAATATTTGTAACAAAAAAAGATTTAACGATAAAGTAGACGATTTTCTTTAAAAAACCACTTTTGAATTCCAAATTTTGCTTTTGCCCTGATTGATGAATCATTAAATCCGAATCTGTTATTTTTTAGATTGTCTCAAAAATTTCATCCAATTTTTCTATTATAAATAAAAAATACAAAAATAAGCCTTGAAAGATAAACCCCGAAATCTTCTGAACATTAAAACTTTCCTTTTGACTACTTTGGCCCGGGATATTTTAAAATTACAAATTAAAACATTATTTTTGTTTCAATCTAAAATAAATATTTTCTAATTATTTACGCGGACCCCATTTTTGTTATAAAAATTCTTTTTCACGATAAGCTCTCATTTAAGTATTTCTAAATAAAATATGAATATCAATTTCTTTTAATTAGTATTTTTGGTTATTTTAATATTTTGGGCCAATCGTTTTTTGTCGTGATTCATAAAAAAAATTGATAAAATAATTGATTTTTTCTCACTCGAATGATTTAGTTATTTAGAAAGCATAATAATTTCTCTCATGTTTTTACGTCGGTTTTTTACTTGCATTTTAGACATTTTAATGTTTTTGAAATTATCAGTTTTGAATCTTTATTTCCGACTACTAAATTATGTCTTATAGAATAATCTCAGGTTAAATAACACTTACTTTTAGTTTTTACTGGGAAGAAAAGTCTCCGATAAAAATTGTAAAATAAGCGAACTTTCGATCTAGTCTTTTCCTTTTGTGAGAGTTTTGATTAGTCTTAGTTAAATTACCTAATTATTTTTAATTTGATTCTTCAATTTTTCCCGTCTCTAACTTTTACCCGTTAATTTGATCAATTTTAATTGAAAATTTCCCTTTTTTAAGGGTTTTTATCAACAAAATATTTCCGTCGAACCTTTTCATTTATTAATGTACTTCCATTATCATCGATTGTCCCATTAACAAAAATTCCTATAATAATGTTACATAATGGAAAAGCAGATTTAAGTGAATTAAAAGGTGATGGAAATACTACAATTAATCTATATCAAGTAATAAAAAATATTTTGAAGAAATTGTGTGAAATAATAAGTATTTTTTAGCAAGCAGTTTATCAGCTAAATTGTCTTCAAAGCAATACTCAAATAATTTCTGCTGCCATTAATTTAAAAAAACGAAAAAATAGACAAGATGTTTTAGAGGAAATGCTGGAATGTTTGACACCGCTGAATATTTCGGTGTGTCTGAAATTTTTATTTAAAACCTTTTCGATTCTAGGATTAGGGTTGCTGTTTTCGGGTCGGGCCGACGTCGAGGCATTTTTACGGGCTTGTTTTTATCGAGTCGGGCCTGTGCGAGTCACTTTCGGACCTAACATTTAGGCCCGTCTAGATCTTTCTGTCCGAGTCGGTCCATTTTGGCAACCCTAGCTAGGATTTACATAAATGAATTAAATTTAGATTTGAGAAAAATAGTTCTCTACTATAAAATTTTATGTAATATTTTTATAGCTTGCCGATATAGACTCACTAAATTGTATTCACATTGCTGGCACTAAAGGAAAGGGTTCAACATGTGCCTTTTTAGAGTCTATTTTACGTCAACTTGGATATAAAACAGGATTTTATTCTTCTCCACATTTAATTCACGTCCGAGAACGTATACAAATTAATGGACAACCAATTAGTGAAGAATTATTTGCCAAACATTTTTTTCATGTTTTTGATACTTTGAAGGATTCTCTGCAAAATCAGGAAGTATTTAAAAAACGAAAGAGAATATTAAATTTAAAATTTTTTTTAAAGAAAATGCCCGGTTATTTTAAATTTTTAACAATTATGGCTTTTTATATATTTTATGTGGAGAAGGTTGATGTTGCTATTGTTGAGGTTGGAATTGGAGGTGAATTTTTATTAATAAAACTAACTAGGTACTTTTAAAGACTATTAAAAAAATAATTTTCATATTTCTAATAATTAAGTGAATAAAATAAATTTTTTTAAAGGTGAAAGTGATTGTACAAATATAATTCAAAATCCAATTGTTTGTGGAATTACAACGTTAGATTTGGACCATACAAGGTGAAAAAAATTATATTTTAAATATCAATTTTGAATTATCATACTTTGAAATACTTAAAAAATTAATTCTGAATATAAAAACATAAATATTTATTTAAATACTGTATTACCTCTAATTGAATGTCCGGGCATTCTATTTTTCAATCATCTTCCAAAGGGGCATTCAAATAGAGATAATACGGTATATAACATAGTATTCTTGGCTCAACTATTCCTGAAATTGCTTGGCACAAAGCTGGAATAGCCAAACCTAATTGTACATTACTAACTGTTGAACAACCACCAGAAGCAATTGAAGTAATAAAACAAAGATGTAAAGAAATAAATGTAAAAAATAAAAATTAATATTTTAAATAAACAAAATATTTAAAGTCTAAATTCTTGATTGTTCCCTCAACAATTAATTCATATAAATGGCCAGATTCGAATATTAAATTTGGAATAAGTGGTTATCATCAACATTTAAATGTTTCCCTAGCTTTGCAATTAGCCCGTATTTTTTGTCTTAATTCAACAAAAAATGGTGATTATTATATATTTTTTTAAAGATTATTTTCCTTTAAAAAGGTAATTTCCTTCCATTTTTCACTCAAAATTTGCCAAAAGAAACAACAAAATTAAATAATAATTTGGATGGATTTGAAGTTAATGAAAATATTTACAAAGCATTATTTAATTGTAAATGGCTTGGAAGAAGTCAAATTTTACAAAAAGAAAATATTTTTTATTTTTTAGACGGAGCACATACTCCTTTAAGTATTAAAGTAAAATTTAAAAAATAGAAATATTTAAAAAAATTAATTTTTTTTTAAAGTATTGTGCACAATGGTTTAAAGAAAATTCTTTCAAAAATAATAATAAAATACAACGTTTATTAATTTTTCACTGTACTGGTTATAGAGATTCTTTACAACTTTTACCTGTTTTTAAAGTAAAAAAATAATAATTTCTTAAAGAAAATAATATTTTTTAAAAGAATTTTAATTTCAATGCCGCCCTTTTTTGTCCAGCAATTATCGAAGAAAATAATTCTTTAATTAATGACTCTATTAATTTAAATCATGATTCTTTTAAAGAATTGAAAAGGTGTTATAAAGACAAACAATTGTGGATGGAATTATTTGAAAACAAAGTAAGGAAGGGAAAGAATTTGAAAATTAAATTAATTGATAATTTCTAATTTCGTTCACCCCCCCCCCCCCTCCCGCCTTTTTTTATCTCCAAAAGACTTTTTATTCCTTATAGAGCGTCCTCAAATTAAAAGACATTGATTAAAAAGGTTTAAATTTAACAGAGTAAAATTGATATGGATAAACGACTAAACATATTTTTGAGGAAAAAAGAGGGTTAATTTTTTCACTTTTTAGATTGAAGGCAACAACAACAACAATTTACTAACATCCAATCAACTTTCTTCTACTAAAACAAATGCCCATTGTTTTTCTTGTATTTCACAAACACTTGAATGGGTTAACCAATATTCTTTAAATATGGCTAAAGACAATGAATTACATGTTTTAATAACAGGAAGTCTTCATTTAGTTGGGGATACACTTGCAATTTTGGAGAGGTCTACAACAAATAATGAAAAGAAGAATTGAAAATAATATTTAAATATTTAATATATGTACTTGCATGACTTTTTAATATATTTAAAAATGTAAAGAAGCTTTTAGACATAAAACCACTTAACTCTTTCATAAAAATAAAAACATATTTATTTTTCATTAATGTACATAAAATTAAAACTTGGCAGCTTAGCTTAAAAATTATATTCACAGTCGTCTAATAATTTCTTCAATAGTATTAAGTTATTGACAAACCCTCATCTAACATAAATTGAATAAAATATTCTATCTCCAATATTCCAATATAAATTTTAAAAACCGATTTGCCTACAAAAGTTAAAAAATATGAAATTTGTTGATTCCTCAATTTTTGGCGGGGTTTGGTGTGTATTTTTAACCCTTGCTTTCCTTCACAATATTTTATCCATTTGTATGGTTGTATTTTCTGAATTTTCTGAAAAGTTTTATATTCAATGGCTGTTAATGAATTGGTTTACTGATGCCATTAATGTTTTGGATTTATTTGTAAAAATTAAGAAAGGTAAAAGGATTTTTAAAAAAATGCCTAGTTAATAAAATTTAAATATTTATGATTTACACTAGATGGATCTACTGGCAATAATCGTTACATATCTATTCGAAAATATATTTTTTGGTTAAAATAATTTTTGTTTTCTTTTTAAATTTTTAATCTATAGTCGAGCATTTCTACTCGATTTATTAGCCATTTTGCCTACAGATATTTTACTTTTAATTTGGCCTAATTTCTTTTTACTTCGAATTAATCGTCTCGCAAAAATTGGAAGAGTTAGCGAAATTGTTAAATTAATTGAACATCGAATTCCGTGGCCACTTGGGTTATTTTAAAAATATATTTGGTTGTTTAAACAAAAATATTTAGATTTCGTTTATTACGTCTAGCTACTTTTTGTTATTTACTTTTTCATTGGAATGCTTGTTTTTATTTCTATTTAAGTTCTCTATATGGATTTGAAAGTAAATTGATAAAGGAATTTTCTTAAATTTTAAATAAATATTTTTAGATTCTACAGTAAATGATTGGACTTTTTCTTATCAAAAAGTTTTAGAAAATAGTTTCTAAAAATCTAGTATTTTCTCTATTTAGATTCCCGACCTTTTATTTCCTCTATGCGAACCACGATTTGATTTTAACCGAAATGAATGTCTTTTCCCAGAAGAAAATTGGAGGGATCGACCAGAAAAAATTAATGAATTAAAAGATTATTGGCAAAAAAAGTTTTTATAAATTAAAAAAAAATATTTTTAAAAATTAATTAAAAGAATTGGATCAACCAATTTTAACAATTTAACAAAAAAATATGCAATGAGTTTTTATTGGTCTGCTTTAACGCTTGTTACTTTAGGTGAACAGGTAGAAGGGTAAATTTATTTAATTTTTAATAAATAAATTTATAAAAAAGCCTTGGCCAGCAAATAGCGTCCAAACAGCATTTGAAATAATTGATACATTAATTGGGCTACTTTTATTTGCAGCAATTATTGGGGATATTGGGATTATGGTAAATTTAGAGATTAAAAATAAATAAAAATATTTAAAAGGTAAGTAATGCCCATTTAGAAAAAGTTAAATTTCAAGAAATAACTGATGGATGTAAAAGATATATGAGGATTAGAAATGTTAATACACAATTATATAATAGAGTAATTAATTGGATTGAATATCAGTGGATTTGGGGAAGAAGATTAAATGAAGACGAAAAGGTGTTTTTTAATATTTGGGTGTTGGAAGGTATTGGGATTCCGACAGATATTGGTCGGGATTGGAAATTCCCGAATCCCGATAACGAATTTAGACTGAGATCCCAATACCTGCCAACTTTAATTTTACAAAAATATTTAAAGAATTTATTTCAAATTTTGCCTCCACGTCTTGGATTAGAATTAGCAGCAGGGTTGTCGTTTCCAAACCACTAAAATGGGGCGCAGCCACTCAAAAATAGGGAAAATATAGGGCGAAATCGGTCAAAAATATGGCAAAAAATGGGGAATTTTTTAAAAAAACATAAAAATAATTAAAATTTTAAATAAAAAGCCTTATTCCGCATGTTCTCCACTAGTTTTAACTAAATTTCTATAAACAGAAAAGTTCACATTAGAGACCAGACTGGGAATGTCGTACGACAATCGTACGAGATGTCTCGAAAAATCTCAATCTCGATAATCAAGTTTTTCTTCAAGATCTCAGGAACCGATAGATTTCTAACATTTTTAGCAAAATTTTGAGAATTTTGAAAAGTTATGAAGCAAGATTGTTTCCTTTTTTAGTGCCGAAGGCGAAAATTTAGAGAAATTGAGAAGACCAATAAAAGAGATTTCTCTTTTTTCAGCGCCGCAGGCGAAAATTTTGGGAATTTTAATGTCCAAGAGTAAGATTTCTTTGTTTTTTCGCATTTTATTTACAAAATCCCAGAAAATTTGAAAAATATCACAAAATGTTAAAAATAGGGCAAAATATGGCAAATGTATAAAATATGAAAAGAATAGGGCGAAAAGGCCAAAAATAGGGAAAATCCCCTATAAATAGGGTAAAACGACAACCCTGATTAGCAGCAGAATCACATGTTAGGGCATTAATTGGTTCGCCTGTATTTTCTTTATGTGAGAGAGCTTTATTAAGTGAATTAGCTATAAGATTACAAACACTGCGTTTATGCCCAGGAGATATTGTTTGTAGAAAAGGGGAAACGACAAAAGTTGGTTTAATTTTACTAAATTTGGAAATAAAATATAAATATAAAATTCTATTTAAATTATAAAATAAAAATATTAAATAAAACAAAAAATAAAATAAATATTAATATAGTAGTTATTCTCAAATTATTTTGTTTTGTTCCATTACAATAATCAGAATAACAAAAACCTTCAGAAAAAATTAATTTTCTTTTAATTAAAAATATTAAATATTTACATGTAATAATTCTATATCCCAAAATAACTTGTTGTTGACAAGCATCTACCCCACCTAAAGGTAGAATATTACAACCACGAACAATTGATACTATAGCCGTGGGATCGTTAATGAAATTGCCCACTTAAAAATTAATTTTTAAATTCAAAACTAGGGTTGTCAGTTCTTGGAAAATCTTCGGATATCCGAAACCGAACCGATATCTGAACCGAAAAATCATCGGTTCTTCGGTTCGGTTCATTCCAGAACCGACAACCCTATTCAAAACAATAAACAAACTTTTATCAACACCTCCATCTTAAATAAATAATTATTTTAAAAATTATTTAAAATTCTTAACCATAAGTAGCTACTTTAACACACCCAAAAAATCCATAAGAGCAACTTGTCCCCACATATTTACTACAAATTCTGTCACCCCCAGTTGCTACCTTTATTTAATCAAGATATAAATATTAAATTAAAATTATTAATTTACTGAAGAACATTCAAAACAACGAATAGAATTAGTAAATGGAATTAAAATAAAATAAACAATTAAATAAAATATTTGTTGCATTAAATTTAAAAAATAATTCTAAAATTATTCAAAAATATTTAGCCAATAAATAAATAAATTATTTTTTCATTTTTCTTCTTTAAAATTTAATATGTATATTTTTACAAATAAAAATAATGTTTTGTGGCTTTTCCTTTTCATTTTGTTCTTTTAATGTTTGCCTCATTCATATTTTTACACTTTCCGGTAAAAAAACTTTATGATTTTTGTGAATATATTGAATATATATTGATTTTAAGTAATTTAAAAATTAAAAATATTTTTTTAATATTTTTTTAAAAATTGTGAGGGTTAAAACAGAAAATAAAATATATTTTTTGTTAAAAAATAAAATAATTTCAGGCAATGTTTATCGTTAAATATGGACGTTTAGAAATGCCTATAGATGATGAATTTACTGATGAACAATCATTTTATACTTCAGAAAAAGAAAGTTCTTCCCTTAATTTTTTTCAAACAACAGTAGGTGATTTTCAAAGTAGGTGAGTAAAGAAATATATGTTTTTATTATCTAAATATTCATTATTTTATTTAAAAATATTATAATTTTTAATTTTTGTTTTCAAGAATTTTACAAGAAGGGGATATTTTTGGTGATTGGGCACTTGTCAGTGAATGCAAAATTCCATACACTGTAATAATTTTATTCTAATAATTCTTAAATATTAAAAAATAAATCAAAGTTTTTCAAGTTTTAAAGAAATTTATAGGCTAATATAATTAATTCCAATTTAAATGGATAAACGCAAAAATATTGGAATGTATTTTAAAATAGATTTTGATTCTATGTATATTTTATTGTCCTCCTCCAGGATCCATTATAGTGGGAGTTGATTGTGTAAAGATAAAAAAACTCGAATTAACTAAGTTATCGAATACCTAACTAACCAAAAATTATTTAAAAAAAGGTTCGATCTGTTGGCTATTCCCTTTTATTTGTTCTTGAAAGGGAAGCCATGGCTGTTGCCTTTGATGAATATCCACATAGTAGAAGAATGGTTAGAAGAAAAGGTATTTCAATTTTTTCAAATTTTTAAAATTAATTTTGAAGCAAAACTTATTTGTCAACAATATGAACAACGTTGGAAAAGAAAAGATTCTTTAAGTTCATTTGATAGTGCAGCAGGTAATTTAATTTTAAATTTAAATTTAAAAATTTTAAAATTCCAAAAAAGAATTTAATATTTCTTCTTCTAATCAACAAAATAAAGCAAACGAATTAATGGATAAAAGAGAAGATGAAGAAGCAGATGATGATTGTTATTATTTTATGGAACATTCATCTTCGAGTATTGAGGCTAAACTTAATGAAATTCAGAGAAATGTTAATTTAATAACTAATGAATTGGAAATTGCTGAAAGGAATTTTTTGGTTAGAAAAAATAATTATTTTATTTACATTACTAGAATAAGGGGTTATATTTAAAAATAAAAATTACCTTTATTTATTATCTGAAAAAATTTTGTAAATAATTTTCAGAAGTACCGTAAATACTCTAATAGAAGCCCACCTCTTGTAAAACCCACCTCTAATTTGAGCTTCTACAAGAGGCCCATCTGAGGACACTTTGAAAAATATAAGCCTAGGGCTTCTATTAGGGTATTTTCTATAAATAATTTCACAAATGGTAATTCACATGACGCCAAAGTTATTTCTTCAGCTATAACTTTAAAAGCTGACAAACTTCCTTAACAAATTTTATATGTGTATTCCAAGTTTAGCTAATTTTATGATCAGATATGTTAGAAAAAAATATTTAATTTAAAAAATGTAAATTAATTATAACTTGAAGAAAACATATACAAATAAATACTTCTTCATTCTTTCAAAATCAATTTATATTTTTAACAATTAAAAATCATTTAAGCGTTCTTCTTCTGAATTAAAACAATTAATGACTGCAGTAGAAAAGGATTATCAACAACAACGCCCTAATTTAAAACAAATGTTAGGAATGAAACAATTTTGGAAACGTCGAAAAGTTGTGTCAACAACAAAAACATTGATAAATAAACCGGAAATAATTAGACAAGAATTGGAAAATAATTATTTTGATAATAAAGATATTCAATTTTGAGAAAAAGTTGGTTAAATTCGAACTACCTATTAGAGATCGAGCTGGACTTGGACCAAAACCTGGGTTTTTCCTGTACCCAGAGTCCAGATCCAGGCATTTTTTGACTTCCTGGATCTTTCCTGGTCCTGGGTTTTTCCTGGACTATATCATCAACTCCAGAGTCCAGGAACAGGTCCAGGCTTTTCAAAAATCTCTATCTCTACTACCTATATATTTTCTGAATATTTAAAAAATGCCATTTATTGAATAATAAAGTAAAATCTGATAATATTTCTCATAAACTTTAAAAATTAATAAAATTTTTACTAATTTTTATAAATTAATCATTGAAATAATTTTTTTGGTTTATTTCTTCTAAAAATATTTTCATATACATACATAAATCGATCTATTTTATTTTTCCATCTCATCCAATTCATCTTTAAGAAGAGCAAAGATCCTCCTCCTCCTCTTTATTTTATCCAATTTTAGCAGTCACACTATGTTGACCGGCTGTTTGTTTGGTGGTTCTGCTCACAATTTTTGATGAAAAATTTCCCGCGGTCTCTTACTTACGTTCATTAATACACATTTTCCTTTATTTTTCATTTTATGTAGTAAATATATACATCCGGGTGTGTGGAGGAGATATTATTAGATATTCTTAAAATATATTTAACTAAAATAGATTTAGTTGTATAGTTTAGAAATAATGAAACAAGAATTGAAAAATAATTATTTCAATAATGAAGACATGACTCTTCCCCCAATAGATTTGTTTTTAATTTTGATTTTCCATTGACCAATAAAAATATTTTTTAATTATTTTTTTAGTAAATTTTAAATAATTTTTGGAATGAAACAAAATAATTCTTTTTATTTTTTATTTCCTTTATTTTTGGTATTTTTTATATTTTCTTTAGTTAATTCTAAATCTGATGAAAAGAATTCAAAGAAAAATGACAAAAAGGAAGGAAAGTCAAATGTACAATTTGAAGGTCAAAATTTGCAATGGAAGGTTTAAATATATTAAATGTTTTGATTAAAAAATTAATTTTAAAAATTAAATAATGGAAATGTAAAAATAATTAAAAATTTACAAAACTCAAAATTTTTTCTCTAAAAAATATCTTCATTTTCCAAAAAATTATAAACATCAAAAATGTTTAAAATGTAAAAAAAACCTCACAAGTGGGAATGAAACATAATAAAATAAATAAATTTAAAAATTAAAAAATATTTTAATAAAATTTTCATTTAAAGGACGATGATGGTCTTGAAATAAAAATAATTAGGCCAATTTCCAAAGAAAAATGTACAATTAAAAGTGAACCGGGAGATATTTTAGAACAATATTATAAATTATCTGATGCTAATGGAAAAGAAATTGGATCAAACTTCAATATGAAACCGTAGGTCGGAGATATTAAATGAAATGAGTTTAAAAAGAGGAGGGGAGAGGAAGGAGTTTAAAATAATTTTTTAAAAATAATTAGTCGACTTTCGATATAGTAACGAACTCTAAATGATTGACGAAATAATTAATTAGATCGAGTCTTTTAATGAGCAACCCTGGTCGGTATTCTAAGAACGAGGTAGCGGGTAATCCTCAGCTGCGGGTAGGTTAACCCAGAACCCTTAAAACATTCGTTATTATTTTAAGATGTTCGTTAAGAACCGAAAGGGTTGTTATGTTTAGGGGCAGCTGATTTATTTTTAAATTACATATTTTAGATATACATTTACTCTTGGAAAAGGACAAGTAATTGCTGGAATGGATAGAGCAATGACTGGAATGTGTATTGGAGAGAAAAGAAAAGTTACAATTCCTGGAAAATTGGGATTTGGAAATGAAGGGAGGGCTAGGTAATAAATTAAAAGGAAATTAATGTTGTGAATAAATCTTTGATTAAAAATATTGAGGAATAATAAAAAGAATAATTAAAAATTAATTTTAATTAATTTAAAAATTAAATTTAAAGGGATGGAATAACTAAAGATCAAGTACTTCATTATGTAGTACAATTAAAAAATTTATTTCGTCCAATTCCTGGACCAAAATGGCGTGAAGAGGATGGATTGGATATTGAGGTATATTTAAATAAAATTCTAAAATATTTTCTTTAATTAAAAGGTAACACACAAAATTGACGAGTCAAAATGTCGTCGTTCTGCTATAGGAGATACAATTCACCAACATTATACTCTTCATTTGGCTGATGGAACGTTTATAGATTCTTCTCATACACGAGGAGAACCTTTTATATTTAAACTTGGGAAAGGTGAAGTTATTGCTGGAATGGATAGAGCGATGACTGGAATGTGTGAAGGAGAGCGTAGAAAAGTTATTATACCTTCAAAATTAGGTAAATAATTCTCAAAATAATTAAGTAGTATATTCTCTCTTAAATTGTCAAACTAAGACCAAGACTTTCCCCAAGTCGAGAACAATCTGACCCCCAGGATTTTGTTTTTACAGGAAGCAAATTTTTCCTGAGCCTACAGGATTTTTCTAAAATCTTCCAAAAAATCTAGACCAAAACCGAAAAAATCCAAGAAAGTTCTTGGTTTCAAGATCAATGGTTGACTAAAGGGTAGTTTAAATGTTTAGTCAACATTTAAAAACGATAGTAATTTTTTACAATTTAATTTTAATAAAAGGCTATGGAACTAAAGGCCGCGATCAAATTCCCGGAGGAGCTGAACTTCATTTTGATATAGAATTAGCTAAATTATTTAAAAAAGCAGCAAGTGATGAGCTTTGAATTTTTAATTATTTTTTATATATACTTGTTAAATAAAAAATAAAATGATTAAAATTTAAAATGTATGTAAGCACTTGATTATTTTCAAATATAAAATAGATTAAGTCTAATCATTCCTTAAACAGTCCTTTTTAAAATAAATTTAAAATTTTATTTCTTTTACTTATAAATTCTTTATTTAAATTTTCTTTTCTTCTTCCGGCGTATCTGGTTGATTATTTGCATGTGCCAATTTAAATTCGGGCAATGTAGCCAGAAACTTATCTATCTTAGCAATTGTAGGAAATTCTTCCATGTTTACACCAAATCTTTATTAAAATAATATTTTCGAGAGAAAGAGAAAATTAAAAATAAAATTACCTTTTAGCATTAAATACTTGTGGGGGAATACAGCAATCCAAAATTGTAGGTAAATCTCCATAAGCATATTTTCCTCCCGAATATTTTGCAAGTTCTCTATCAAGATTTTTAAATGATTTTTCTATCCAATATTTTGCCCATTCCTTCCTTTTATTAGCATCATTTGACAAATATTCAAGAACAAATAAATTTTGTAAAGGTTGAGTATTTGCCACAATTTGAAGAGAAAGTGCCCGAATCCGAGCTTTATCTTCAACAGTTCCAGGCAAAAGAGAAGGAGAATTTGGGAATTTTTCTTTAAAAAATAAATATTTAATTTTTAATATATTTATTTATTCTTTTACCTTCCAAAAATTCAATAATTGCCATACTTTCACTTAACAAAAAATTATTATAATTAAAGGCAGGAACTAAAGCAAAAGGTAAATGCTCTTCATCCTTTGTTTGTTCTCCTTTTAATAAATTAATTGTTTTTTGTTCAAATTTAATTCCTTTTAAATTTAAAGCAATTCGAACACGCCACGAACACGAACTAAAGAAAAAAGAAAATTTTAAAATTGAGAAAATTTGTTTATTAACCTTCTCCAATATGAATACAAAATTGGTGTAGTTGAACTCATAATTTAATAAAGGAATAAAATTATCGTAAATGCTCTAATAGAACATGTGCTTCTATTTCCCGATCCCCTCGTAGGGTGTGCTTATATTAAGGAGTGTGCTTCAAATAGGGAGGGTGGTTATATTAGAGCATTTACGGTATATTAAATACTTTAATTAAAAATATAAAAATAAAGTAGAGAAATTTAATTTAGTTAATTTTTAAACAAATAAATACTAAATGATAAAATAAATAAACAAAAAATAAATTGATTAATAATCAGCCGTTATAATTTAATAAATGTACACTCATACATATACATATTTTAGAAGAGTAAAAGGGAATAATATGTGCAAATAACGGGTTTAGGAAAAGTTTAATTATAAAATTATGTAATTAATTTTAATTTAATTAATATTTTAATTAATTTATACAAAAAAATGAACGTAATATATCGGAATAGTTTGAAAAGAAAATCAGTGAGATTATTGAATAATTTTGAATTAACTTTTAAGAAAATTATTTTTGTTCTGATCCATCTTTCTTAGAAAAACTTTTCATCGTTATTCGTAACATCCACAAATTTGTACGCAAAAATACTAGAGAAAATATTTAAAGGATTAGTCCAAATGAACTTCAAATTTTATACAAAATAGTTATTTAATCGGAAGCGGAAATATGAATTGATAAAAAAATAAAAATAAGATAAATTTAAAATTCTTTAATTCAGTAATGCATTCTACTAGTTTGAGATTCTAACTAATTTAAATTTAATTATTTTTTAATTTTTTTATAAAGAAAAAAATTATTTATTTAAATAATTAGTGATTCTTCCATCCTTAAAACATTATTTCTGACACTCTTTTATCTTTTAAATCAAATTTTTATATTAAATATTATAAATTTATTTATTTGTAATTTTATTTTTTATTTAAAATTAAATCAATTAAGTTGCCCTTTTAATAAATATTTTAAAAATTTTTATGTAAAGATGCACTGTAAAATTAATAAAATCAGACATTAAAGAAAGCGATGTATGTACATACATGTATTTATCTTGTGATTTAGACAAAAAATTTTTTTATAAAATGCCATCAAATGTAAATAAATATATAAAAATATAGTAAATAGAAAATTTCGAAAAAATTTTCTTGACATTGTAATTAATATTTTAATTTATTTTATTTGCTCTATTCATTCAACGAATGATAATTGTCGGTTTCACCAGATTCATCGGTTAACCGAAACCGAACCGACAAACCGAACCGAAATCTTCGGTTTTTCAGTTCGGTTCGGTTTGAAACCGACAACAACCCTAATGATAATATATTTTAATATCTCCTCTTAGGAGATTTATTTTAATTTTATAAATAATTAATATAGCAGAAATATTAATTAAAATTTTAAAAATCTATTTTAAGTGAGATTAAAGTGCCTAATTATTTTGTCTAATTTTTAAAATAAAATTTTATAGTGAATGTGGTTATTAAAGATATTAATATTCTTTTTATTAATAAATGATGCAGAAAGTGGAAGAAAGAAACTAACTGATTTAGAAAAATGGAAAAATTATGTTAAAAGATTGGGGGTTGTTGATTCAAAGAATTATAGTGTGGATGAAGAAAATGGAGTTTATTGTAAAGTTTGTAACAAAAAAGTATTTATTTTTATTTAATACTTAATATTTAAATTTAAATTTTAGTTCGTTACAACTTATCACAATAATAGAAAAATGCATCAAAAAAAATTTAGTAGGATATTTTTAAATAATAAAAAATAATATAAATTTAAAAAATTTAAATTTCTTTATTTTTAATGAAATTTTAAATATTTAATAGGAGAGAAAGGATTGTTGACTAATGAAATAACTGCTCCAAATCAGAATGAAATAAATCCGGTAATTAATTAATTTCATATTAATATTTTTATTTAAGGAAAATAATCCTCAAAACATTAATCAACAAAATGAATCAAACAAAACATTGGGAAATACGGCTGGGCAATATCGTGAGTCTATTATTGTGAATCTAATAGGTTGTTGATGCTTAATAAGTCAGAACCGGTGCTTGGACGATCGTAAAGGAATTCATTTTTGTACTTTTACTCGTACAAATTAAAAATGTTAACAAGTACGAGGCCAAAACTAGGAGTGGTACATTACGTATAAAATTAGCTCTACTTCCTCGTTTGTGTATTTCATAGGTACTAGTAAATACGAGGTATTAGTATGAGGTGCAATGACATAAAAAGTGGTGGCATGAGTTCAAATACAAATACGTGCGATTATGAGGCCAAAACTAAGGGTTCTATTAGAACACAGACATATTAGAAAGCTAACTTTTTACTTTTGGAGCGTCTCTGCCTGACGTATTACAGAAATGACGTATGAGGGAAAAAGTAAAGACTTATGGAAATTTTCCGTAAACAATTTTAACTCCGACGTAAACAAATGTTTTGTGAGGGAGAGAATGTTAGAGAGATTTGACAAATTTATAACTAGATTAACTTGATATAAATTCAACAGATTTGGAAATGAACACATCCTCAACTCATGACACAAATAATGATGTACAAATTGCAGAGAATTTAGGTACGGGGAAACAAACGTTAGCTGAAGTACCTTCGTCTTCACAAGTACGCGGTGTTGATCGATTAGAACAGATAATGAAGATGTACACAGATAATGAAGATGACACAGATAATGAAGACGTACAAATTACAGAAAATTCAGGTACGGGGAAACAAACGTTAGCTGAAGCTTCGTCCTCACAAGTACGCGATGTTGATCCATTAGCGAATAATAATTTTATAAACATTCAGGTGAGTATATTTTAGATGTTAAACTTTACAAATTATCGTTCCTGGTATGACCCGACTGATTTTCCGAGTTAAAATCCAAAAAACAAGTTTTTATATCTGGGCCCAAACACGTTCTCTCAAAGGTTCAAAAAGCATTGAATTTTTTATGTTGTTATTTCGGGTAAAAATTTATCTCAAATATAGCATTAAGAAATAACATGCCGTATATGCTCGAATAATTACCCCGGGTAATTATTCATAGATCTGTCTAGAACTAATGAGCTTTTAGAATATTACCCTCAATAAATATGAATAGAATGTATCATGAATGAATTTATTCAAAAATTATTACTGAGATTTTAATTATGTAAATATATAGAAAATTAAAACAAATAAGCCCACTTATTTACATATAATTAAATCGTTTCTAGCGTCAAATTCTGAAGAATATAAAATTCAAGCAAAATGCTAATGTTGATGAAAATCAAGGAGGATTTCATTTAAGTATACTTATTTTAAAATGAATTAAAATAAAAATTATAAAATTAAAAGGTTCTTTGTCCAAACAGCAAATTTCTGACAATATTCGCGAAGAAAAAATTAACAAATTATCTGTAGAGTTACGAGAATGTGTGGCAAAGAAAAAACGAGAATTTGAACAGGTTAATCAAGAGAATATTTAATTAAAAATAATTTATTTAATTTTTAAGAGTTATCGAAATGATTGTGAAACTTTTGGATTTGTTACTCAAAAACTTGTTGAAAAGGACAAAACTTTGGAGGGTTAGAAATTAAATTAGGTTAATTTTATTTAATAATATTTTTACAGGTCGTTTGAAAGTTGCTCTTTTGGAAACGATGAAAGATTTAGAAAGTGAAACAATGAAGAAATTTGATGAATTTCTTGATCAAATTCATAGTTTCAATTGCAACTAAAAAAATTTTTTTTTTAATTTTTTAAATTTAAAACTACTATGTAGTATCTGTTTATTAATCTACCTTTCCTACATTTTAATATTTTTTTAATCCACTAGAATTTTTCAATACATATAATTATTATTCAATTAATTTAAATGTTTTTTAAATTTATATTTCTTTGCATCTATTAAGCTACTTTTCATATTTCCTCATGACTGAAAAGCTTTCTAAAATAAATTTTGCGATATTTTCTGTCAAAAATATTTGATGTGTCACTTCGAATCTATATTTTTTTAATCTTATCTTTAGATAATTCCAATGTAATCTAAATTTATTTATTTTACTAGATTTAGAAGAAACAAAATTAAAATTTAAATTTAAAAATTTTTTAAACATTATTTTAATTTAAATAATATTCTCTTGAATTCACAAAAAAGATTTCTTTGTATCATCCACAAATTTATACGCAAAAAATAATAAAGAGAATATTTAAAGGATTAGTCCAAATGAACTTCAAATTTTATACAAAAAAATTATTTAATCGGAAGTATTCAATCTCTCTCTCCCTTCCCTTCCTTCTATTTAACTACCAATTAAAAACAAAAAAATAGGGCATGAACACTTTTTTTTAGAAAATATTTAAAAGTAGTAGGTCACGATTAGAAATCTAAATAAAAAATTAAATGAACAGCGCAACAATGACCAAAAAACTCATTTTTGTGCGCAAAATTTTAGCGGCGTTCGTCTTTTTATGAAATAAAATCAACCCATCCATTTCCTATTTTAGTCGGTCAAATTTAGTTCTTTTATTCAATAAATACTCTAAAAAATTTATAAAAAAACTAAATCTTTCAATTTATATATACTATATTTCTTGTTTGGTAAATGATTTCAGGAGTCGATATCGATAATCTCGAAATATATCGAAGAAGAAATCACAATTTTTTGAAAAATTAATTTAATTTTAAGATGATTTAGAACTAACGAACTTAAAGAAACAATGCTTGTAAAAATGATTAAATTTGAATAAAAATTAACAATGTTATAGTACATACAATTAGACTTTATCATAGAATCCGTTTCATCTAGAGATGAAACGGATTATTGTCTGAGGATTCTATTTTAGAGTTTCTTTATAGGGCCGGCGAGGTTTTCTGCAAAATAGCTGAAAATAATAATCATAGGCAACATAGTTTCATAATCTCCGATTATGAGATAAATAAGCTAGTAAACCCTGATTTAGGAAAGCTTTCAGGATTAAGTTGTATAATTCAATCTTCTTCCATTTCTTGGATAGGCAAGTTAAT